ATATAGATATAGATATATATATATGACGTTAGCTTCAGAGCTAATATAGCCTATGATATAACATTAGCTCCAGAGCTAATATAGCCTATGATATAACATTAGCTTCAGAGCTAATATAGCCTATATGATATAACATTAGCTCCAGAGCTAATATATATGGTGTTAGCTGCAGGGCTAATATATGATACGATGTTAGCTCCAGCGCTAATATATACAATGTTAGCTCTAAAGCTAAAAGCGTTAGTTTCAGATCTAATAAATTACACATCACAATTTGCTCATATCTGATTGTTTCGACTCATATTGTGCATAAGGACTAATACAAAATACAACTTTATTGTCTCATTATAACTTTTTAGCCTCGACTCTTTGCGTTGTAGTCTCCACTACAACCCATGTACATCATCCTCCCAGAATGCATTGCACTGGTCAAATAATGACAACGCCCTTAGGTGAAAAATGTAATAATATATATAGAGTTTTTTTAAGTAATTAGCAGTTTTCACATGTCACAAACAACAACTTTGAGTAGAAAAGAGAAATAACAGCAAGGCCAATATGTGAAAATTGTTGTTGGTTAAGAGTTAGGTTTTAAAAGAGAGCTGATGATAAATTCTCTTTTGAATGTAAACAGTCAAAATAAAAAGACTAAAGACTGGAGTTATGGACCACGACCAAGAATGGTCAAATGGCTATGAGACCTTGGGGCTGAAAAGAGAATCTCGGTTCCTAATTAAGAATGTGTATACTGCCATTATAATGTTTGGACACATTTACGACCTGCAAGTGTTTCATTTTTAACTCGCCAAGTCAGCCAGTACTTACCGTCATGATGTCACTGCAAGAATAAAAAGATGGAGCTGTTCATGCAAGTGGTTTCAGAAAGCAAAAATCTTTAACGTGAACCTTTAGTTTCATGTTAGAGAAGTGGAAAATTCCTTCTTACAAAATGTAAAAGTGTTACGTCAGCGCTGCTTCCTTTGTGTAACTCACCCTGCCGAAACGGAGGAGCCGGGGCAGCGTCAGTAAGTTGGTGTCAACTTCACTGTAGGCATGCAGGTTCAACTCTGTAACCCTGTCTCAGTTTCTCGCCCATCTCAGGGACGCATCATCGGTGGATCGACTGATTCTTTATAGCACGACACTGATGCGCCACCAACGTGCTAATTCGACAAAAGCAGAAACCATAAAGCTTGACGTGACTTTTCACTGATGGAAACTACAGAATAAGAGCAAAGTCTTCAGAAACCTACAAAGTTGTATCTTCTCTCTCTCTTACCTACTAATGAACCTGTGCTAATTATCGTGACATAACTTTGTGTTTGGAGGTCCCAGTAGTACAGGTGAAGCTGTACCGGAGCTGTGTACGGTCTACGATGTGATATGACCCAGAGTGTTGGAGGACGACGGCCAGTGACCCTTAACAGGCTCTCCAGGAGAAGATGGAGGTGGATTGGGCATGTGCTTAGGCAAGAACTTGGTGAACACTGAACACCAGAAGACAAGTTCTAGAATTGCGCCGCTCAAGGTGGCTGCATGTTGGAGCAGCTCTGTTACTTTCATTCTGAGATTTTGCTTTTGGAAACTTTAATTCCTCTTTTTTCTGGATGTAAATCACATTTTTTGGATGATTGTTTCCTCTGGTATCAGATGCTGTGCAGCTGGAAGGATTTTTACTGAAACTTTTTTAGTTTTGGACATTTGTTATGATGCGTAACCATGGCAACAAGGTAGTTTTCTACAACCAACAGCAGCTGATTAACATCTCAAAAATTCAAATAATACCTCAACTACAACCCCAACTCTCAAATGAGTTGAAAAGGATGTTCTGTGGATGCATTCTCATCTACATACCAGCTGTGTTGGAGTGCCTGACCACTGAGATCCTGGAACTAGCAGGAAACACGGCTCATGACAGCGGAAGGACAGGATCGTCCCTCAGCACCTACAGTTGGCTGTCCACAGTAACGAGGAGCTCGGCAGGCTGCTGGGAGGAGTGGTCATCGCTCTGGGAGGAGTTCTGCCCAGCATGCATTCAAGCGGTCCTACAGCCTGGGGGAACCGAGAGGCCAGCCGAGTCTGGGTGGACGGATTGGACGGCATCTGCAGCCAGTTTCTTAGGATCCACTGTGGGATGGACCTTTACAAGAGATCCTTCCTGCCTACAGACATCAGCATCTATAACATCTCTTAATGAAATGAGGATAACAAGTTACAACAACAATTAATTTCCCTTTCGGATTAATAAAGTATTTTTGAATTGAAGTGCAAGAAACGCAGACCGAAGAACACCTGGTGACGAATGGTAGAAGTGAAGATGAAGACCCTAAACCCCACCTGGGGAACCCTTCAGATGCTGGCCCAGAAAAGACAGGTGTGGAGGGCCTTTTGGGCATTGTGGGTCATGATGATGATGATCTTAAGACTCCATACTGGGCGTTTCCTGACCCAGTTCCAACTTTGGGATCTTTTGCTTCACACAGTAGCTGCATCTTAAAGAAAAAATGGTTGTTATGTTCCCAATAGAACAAGCTCAGTTTGTTCTGCTTTTCCATACAGTGCAATGGCAATCAGGGCCTTCTGTTTAGTTATGACGCATCAATCATCATTAGTATTATTAGAGAAAAATGACTTAAATGCATGGCTGTACACAGCAGCAAATTACAGCTATTAGTCTAGTTTTCCATGGCAATTAGTGTAATTATTTGTCAGAAATGACAAGACATAATTCTTTTTATATTTTTTCCCCACTCTTTTTCATGATAGAGCAGTTTAACACTGTTACTAGGCAAGTCTCACAGCAGCAAAGTGGTAAAACCAAATAACATGACATCATATTGGTGCGCCGTTCCTTTTTATGTTCATTTAAGCATAGCATTTTTTTTATTTTTTCATATAGTTTAGCTATTTTTATTTAACGTCTCAATTTCACCCCAATAAATTAAAAAAACATTTTTTTTTCCATTATAATATCGTTGCGCATCTATTCCGAAGTGTACGGTAAGCCGGAGACACAAACAAGTCCCAGCTCGCAACAGTGACGTCAGCGCGTCGCGGAGCAGGAGCGACGCACGGCGATTGGGTGAGCCCGGAGCCGAAGTGTTTTAAGTTAAAAAAAAAAAGACGAGACGAGGACAACGACGACAGCAGCTGCGGCCGCATGAGTCGAACTCACAGTCGAACTTTTCGGCCTGGTGTTGTAGAGACTTCGGGTAAGAAAAACCCACATTTAGGAGCGTTTTGAAGCCGCAGTTAGCCAAGGTTGACCGCTTCCGCCAAGTTTCTTTTGTCCTCCGACAACAACAACAAAACAGGAGACAGGAACCGAGTGGGCACCGACCGGAGGACGCGGTTCGTCGGCTCGTTTTCACCGACAGCATGCTTAAAAACGTCAAATATGAAACCGCCTGTATAAAGAAAGTGGGTTATGTCGTTTTGAGCGCTACCTTTGGACCGGCTGAGCGAACCTGATAGGCTGGATCGGTTTAACACAGGTGGTTTCATCACTGAGCAACGTTAATGACTTCAGGTATGGAAGTCTGAAAGTGCCAGAATTAAATAAACTTCTTGGTTTATATAATAAACACACGAATTAAATCTGTACGACTAGAAATCTACCACTGCGACATTAAAATCTAACTGTCTTGGCACATTTTGTTCTATTAAGGGCAGTAAAATAATTGCCCAACTGCTCTGTCAATTATTAAAGCTGCCAAATCCGTAATTGTCATGTTTAAAATGTGTGTACTGTTTCTCGTTGCACGGCTTTGTGTTAAAAAAAATATGAAATGTTACACTAAAATCAACAAAAAAGGTTGAATCATGTCATCTGGACTTTGTTTTTTTGTTAAAAAGAAGCGTTTCGCCCCTCATCCAAGAGGCTTCGTCAGTCTGAGGCCTAGCCATCTGGTATTACCCAGAAGCCACCCTGACTCTTGTGTTTCAAGCCTGCCTCAGATACCCCTGAAGTCTGGCCTTTTCACTAATGGTTTCAAAAACACAAAGTTTGTTTTCTCAGTCATCCAGGTATATAACAACATATATACCTGGATGACTGAGAAAACAAACTTTGTTTTACACTAAAATGTGCAGCCCCATTAGGAATAGTGTTCAGGGCCAGTTCTTGTTGGACCCTGTTGTGTCCGGTTCTGGCGGGACCTCTCTTTTTCAGTGCCCATAGTTCCCTTTTAGTGGGCGGATTGTTCACCTCTAGTGGGCAGATTATTAATATCAACGCACCTTACCAGCTGGTGGCGCTAGTGCTACATTAAGCTCTTTTCTAAGCACCGCTAACGTGTATTAGAAGAAGAAGAGCCGGAAAACAACACACAACCAAAATGGATGACCTCCTTGATCTCCGCCCTCAACCAATGAATACGCCCCCTGACCAATCAGTGACCTACAGTGCGCTGATGTCACATCTAGACCCAACAAGAACCAGACCTGGGACCTCAGAGAAGTAGGTCCCAAAAATGGGGTGGGTTCCACCGCTGAAGACATTGTGGATAAACCACGCAAACGGTCCGAACTAGTTACATAGGAGCCCCAAAAGGCCCTGTGGATAAGGGGCTTTGTCCATCTGGCCCGAAGTGTTTTTAACTGGAAAGAAAACTTTTAAATAAGTTGCTGAAAACATGCATTTTATTAACGATAGTAAAATATTAGGAATGCACAATATTGGATTTTTAGCCGATATGTTAAAACGTATTTGGCCGATAACCATTATCGATACTTTATATACGTTTTGTCAGAACATAGCCCTCTCTCTTATTTAGGCTTATTTGCTACAAAAATTGTGCAACAGCTGTAAGAGCTGGTGACGTTCAATAACAGCCATATATGCACAGCACTTTAACTTATACAACATGAAAAGTGTTAAATGTTATTAGCATTAGTCACCTGTGATGCTGTCTCACTTGTGGAGGTTTGTTCCAGGTTCCTATAGCTGCAGTGTGGGATCGTCTGCACTCCTGTGCATGAAGGACAGACTTTTGAAGTTCAAAGTTTTTGTCTATCCATTGTGCCGTAAGACTAATCGTGCTAACGGGGCTAACACTTGACGTCTGTGGTAAAACTCACCCAAGCGCTATCGGCCATTAGCTTCTCAATGACGTCAGAAATGACGGCTTGTCACTCGGATAAGGTTACTTCGGGAAAAATATCTCCAACTGGGGACGATGTAGCGAGGCTCATCGTAGTCCATGAATCTTCAGAATCCGAGATCCTGAAGGAAAAAAAAAAAACTTTCCACACCGCCGCCATTTTTACTTCTTCCTCTCCGCCGCGATCGGATCAGGTAGGCGCGCGTGACGTCATCGCAGCTGCAGGCATCCTTGTCACTGGGTTGTCATAGCAACGGCGTCTTTTATATCTGTGAGTTATTTTTGATGGAACGGTCGGTGTTCGATATTGAACTTTAACGCTAATATCGGCCGATACGATACAATGCCGATAATATCGTGCGTCCCTATAAAATATGTGTAAACATCTAGAGGAAATGCATCAAACACCTTTAGATTGAGATAAACTAAAACTTTTTATTTGAAGTAGTGTACGACACAAAAAGCAAAGTTATAACACTATTTAGTTTTTGCATAATTAAGCTAACAAATATGTTACAATAGTCTTAAAGACATATTTTTATCAAGCATGCTAACTATGCTACAAGAAAAAGCCTGGATTATAGATCATCGGTCTTAAAAATATATATATTTCCAGTTTTTTATGTTTTAAATATCTTGATTTGTTCCTCTGGGAGAAAAATGTTGCACGTCCCCGCTTCAGACGAAAGTTTGTAATAAAATAACGATCAGTGGGATCGTGGTGGAACAGTCTAGCCCTGTTCGAAGCGCCGCAGGTCAGAAATAGTTCACAGTGGAAATCTTATTTAAAGTTTAAACGGGTTACAGAAAGTTATACTTTAAATGTATGAACTGGCATTTTGATACGTTGTACGGTTTTTAACATGAGTTTTAATTATTTTTGCTTCATGATGCACGACTGACAGTTGATGATGTCACACTAACTTTTAAATTGTCTAAAATTTTAAGCTTTTCTTGGCAAACAAACCCTTTTTTCTCCCACAACTCATTAAGCTGAATGTTCATCAAAACGTTTTCACACAGTACGTCTCTCACAGCTATAGGAGTCATGGTTTTACCTGAAATCTCTCCACAATGCAGACGGCACGCATCCAAACTTCTACAGACTTCAGTTATGTTTTAGCGGTAAATCTCTCGTGAACGGAGTCGTCGTCTTAAAGGATTTTAACGCTCCGACGTGTAGCTTGTGCACAGCGACCGTGTGTTTGAGGCTTACTTTTCAGTCCGTTTCTGTACGTCTCTCCAGATGTTACGATGGCTGCGAACTTCACCATTTCAGACAGCGATTCGGAGCCTTCGGAGGAGGTAGAGGAAGCAGAAAACAAGCGGCCGTCAGAGGGACAGGAGAACGTTCGTCGTCACCTCAACATACCCGAGCTCAGACTGTCAAGTAGGTAAACAAACAAACAAACAAACAAAGGGAAAGAAACGGGTCCATTTCTCATGTAGGGAAGGCACAGGTTTACCGCCTTCTGTTTGGTGGAAGTTCTGCGTGGGGACATTTTAACAGAGCTGCAGAAGTTCTGCAGTCATCAGTGCTACACTTGTGCTTTCTCTACTTCTTCAAGTCAAAATGATTGCCGTGAATTAGGCCTGTTGTTCTTTCTGCTGTTCCCTCTTCAGGGAATCAGCGAGTCATCCTCCTCCATCTCACTCTGTCCTCACTCAAACTACCTCCATGTTCTTTCTAATTGCATCCGTTTATCCCCTCTTTGCCTTTTTCCTGATATTTCTAGCATCCTTCTACCAGTATACCCACTGTCCCTCCTCTGGACATGTCCGAACCATCTCAGTCTGGCCTCTCCAACGTTACCTCCCAGTTGTTCGACCTGTGCTGTACCTCTGATGAGCTCATTCCTTATCTTTTACATCTTGGTCACTCCCAAGGAGAACCTGAACATCTTCATTTCTGCTGCTTCCAGTTCTTTCTCCTTTTTGTCCAGGTCTCTGTCTCCAGGCCGTACAACATAGCTGGTCTCACCACTGTCTTGTAAACTTTCTTTTGATTTTTGACATCTAAGATTAGAGCCCGACCAATATGGAAATTTTGGCTATCGACGATACCGATGTTGGGTGGGAAAGGCAAATGCAGATAACTGATATATTGGCTGAAAATCATTGAGCTTTGTCCACCCCCAATAATCTAAGTAAGCAGCTACTTTTAAACCTGTTTTAAGTCTTGAAACAGTCTTCCTAATGTGCATTCATATTTTCTATAAATTAAATAAAGAAATTCCCTTCCCAGTTAATTGTTTAAACCAGTCACGTATGTTGAAAGCCCAATTAGTACTGACCACAGCAGTGTTTTATTTTTCTTTGCAGAGGAGTAAATATTTCAGACAAACAACGCATTTCATTGAGTATGACAAAGATAACGTTACCAACACTGATATATATTTCACAGCTACGTTAGATTTATTGTTCTGGATAAAGTTGTACAAGGCAATAGCCTATGCTAGGTTATCTAAACGTTAGCTTGCTAACTTGAGAGGCACGTAGCTAATGACAAGCGGGTTGAGGATTGAAGAGAATGTATTGTTGATTTTTTTTAAATTTTACAGATCAGTTACAATAAACTTGCTATGCTCTGTTCAGCAAGATGTGCTACGCAGTATTGTTCGCTGCTTCGACTGTGCTGAAAGTGAAACTTAAAGTGAATGGCCATGACTTGAAAGTAGTCCACATGCGCCCTCTGCTGGATACATTGTACAATTGTGCCTTTTGCCAGTAAGGACACAGTTTGTTCCCAGATTATATCTGGGCATAGTGGGACAATTGTCACAGATACCGATATGTCCCCAAGCACCTGTATCGGCACCTACCAATATATCGGTCGGACTCTAAAACCACCATCAGGCATCTACGATAAAGTATGTTGCTAATCTTCAAACAGCCTTACTTTGTAAATGCAGTTGTTATTATTGACGGCCACCAAAGCTAAAAGAGCAGAGTACGTCTACAACTTTCTTTCAAGATGGCCGCCACAATTGAGCAAACACATCAGCTGTAACTCAGCTGATTGTACAGATACTTAGCTGAAATTTAGTAAGTTAATAGCTGATAGTCTTCTTCAACACGTACTCTAAACACCAACTGATAACAGATCTGTTTTTCAAACGCTGCCGTTTCCCCTAGATCAGTTCCCTTGGCGCTTGTCATATTTTATTTTTGTAAATGGGGGGGGTGAAGACCAGACAGAGTCACGTTTGTGTTGCCCGCCCGCTAGCTTAGCGCTATGTTGCTTCCGGTTTTTATCGACAATGGGGGATGGTATGGAGCTACATCTGTGTTGCCCGCCCACTAGCTTAGCGCTACGCTGCTGCTGGTTTTTATCCGGGGGGGGGGGGGGGGTCACATCTGTGTTTAGTGCTACATTGCTGCCGGTAATTGTGGGCTAGCAGAGCAGTACGCCGGTAGTGTTTTTGCTAGCACGTTTGTATTGTTCCCCATGCTACATCAATACTGACAGTTGTCGATTGGGGGTGGAGTTCGGTAGGTGGGGCGCTTGGTTCTGTTGACAGAGCAGGGCACCCCACTTGTATAATGGTAGGGGAAACGCTGAGCTACAAGAATCAACATTGTTAGTAAAATATCTCGTGAACCACTGGTCAGTTTTAATGAAACTTTCAGTTAGTAATCATTGGATATGTATTTACAACTGATTTGGATTTGGACTCCATCTTGTTCACGATGGCCACCGCAGCTAATTAAACTTAGCCGACACAAAAATGTCTCGAGCTCAGTTGAGCAGATAATTCGGCGTGGTGGTAGCACGTATTTTAGTGCTCACGGATGTTGGGGGACCTCAGTGCCACGAGACTTCTTAATGGTTTTTACAAGGGTTGAAGAACTCTGTTGTTTCTCAGCACAAGCTGATCTAAAGTTCTGGCATTCTAATAAATATTAGACCTCACGTGATCGTAATTTTCAAAGTTTTCGCCGTCACATTTCCTTGTCGAGTTATTCTGTTTAGTAATTCTTTGATACAAATACCTTAAACATTTTGGGTTACTTTCTTATCAGGTTTTCTCTCCGGTTTCTTCTCTGTTGTAGCGAACGGTCGAATCCGGCTGAACTCGGAGTCCCACCTTTCCACTGTCTACAAAGAGGAGGATCTACTGGCCCGGGGGGAGGAGGAGCCCGGGACCCCTACCGAGGGGTACCCCTTCAGGGGACGATCCAAGTCCGCCCCTCCCGCCCTGTGGGCTGCCAAGAAGTACGGTCAGCGGCTTCGAAGGATGAGCGACGAGTTCGACAGCCTGCTTGATAAAGGGGTGAGGAGGCGTTTTCGTCACGATTAAAGTGATAATTGGTCTGTTTCTGGTGATAAAATCTAACGTGGTAGTAGCTGAGAGTCATTCACAACGAGGTTCGATCAAAACGGCTGCAGCTCCATTTCATTTCGAGGCTCTGACGTGACGGGCGGAGTAGAACGGAGCGAATCGTAGCCGTTTGATCCGAGAGAGGCGTAAAAATCTTCCCACTCTCAACCGCTCTGCGTCCGTTTCTCTCGCAGGAGATGAGGAAGGTGAAGAGTGTGGGGTCGACCAAACCGATCCCCCACACCAGAAGCTGGTGGAACTACCTCTTTAGTCACCAGGAGTCGGACGGAGAGAACGGCCACCACGAAAAACCAACGCACCGCACCGAATGAACGCTGGGGCGGGGAAACGGGAGCCGCTGGAGATTTTTTACGGATGAAGAACGAGGAAACGACTGAACGCTGGCTGAGCGGGACCAGTGGGTCCCACCTGAAGAGACTTCTGTTTAAGTCATCCGTATTCTTTTTTTTTTTTTTCTGTTTGTGTTGTGATTGAAAAGTGTTGAGCTGTCCTTTGTGTTAGGGCAAACAGAATTAAATTACATGAGATTACCCCTAAAAAAAACTAACAAAAAAACTAGTGCATTAATGAACAGGAAACGTTATTTTGTTTTTAAACGGTGCACCGTACTTCACGGAGCAACGATTTAAAACTTTGTCCTGCTTTCCATTTAGGTGATAATTACGTTTTACCACCATATTTCCATTTTTTTTTTTTAATCCACTGTAATCCAGCGTCAAAAATAATCCACTAATGAAGGTTTTTTGTTATAAAGTACTCCACTTCCCGTTCCTCAACGTTTGCCTTTCCTACTTTAAGCTGTACGAGACTATCAGAACTGCTTTATTAGATCGAGTTCATCAAAAGAACAATCTTGTAGTCGGACAATCTGCGACGGCGCACAAACTATTTTAGATTAAACTTCAGGGTCAGATTATAGACATGAAACAGAAAAAGCACAAGTCAGTCTTTTTTCAAAGCCTTGGACGAGCAAAAATAAAATGAATTTTTATGTGTAAATATCTTGTAAATATGAAATACCAGGGACTGGGCGGGGCTATAAATAAGGTGATTTACGCAGAATTTTATTCACGAGGTTACCGAGAAGTTCGGCTAACCTAGCAATAGGCTGTGGCTGTCGGGATTAAACGTATTTGAAGAAGTCGGTGGAGATGAATTAACTAACTGCTGTAAGGGATGAATTTTGTCCCGTCTGATTTAAACGCAGGTTCGATGACTTTTAGATACAATCTACGGAGTTTGTTCCGAAAAGTCAATTTTTATATATATATTAAAAAAATTAAACTTTTGTCTACATTAGATTTAAATCGAATTTTTACTGTTTGAGCTGTAGCTGCAGCTTTACGCCTTTTGGAAATTATTATATAAGATCAGCGTTTTCATACAGCTCGAAGGAAACAAACAAAAAAAAGGGTGTTTTGTAACTTGTGGCTTTTAAAAACTTTTTTTTTCTGCCTTGGTCTCGTCGTCTTCCTCAACTTTTTAGGGTTGAGCTGCGAAGTTATCGGGCTTCAAAATAAAATACACATTTGTATTGTTTTAATCTAATTGCTCTGGTTCGGGTATTTTTGTTGTTTTAATGTGGATTTTATTTGGAGAACTCCAGACAATCTGAACGTTGCCACCTCAAAAATAAAATAAACCAGTTGGGTATTTTTTAATATTTCAACATTTTAATAAAGCTATAATAGGATGGAATCAGCTGGCGGAGAATTACTTGAATCTGGAGAAAATTACCGTATTTTTTGGACTATAAGGCACTAAAAATCCTTTAATTTTCTCAAATCAACCGTGAGCCTTATAATCCGGTGCACCTTATGTATTAATTCTGGCTGTGCTTACTCACCTCGAACCAATGTTAAGTGATGCATGGTGCTCAAAAATCTGTCAAAATGTTTTAGTTGCGGCTAATGCGCCTTATAATCCTGTGTTTTATAGTCCGAAAAATATGGTAAACTTTCATGTCTTGGTGTAAAACCTTTCCTTTCTGGAATTGAAAGTTAAGAGTAAAATTGTTTAAAAAATCTGCCTTGAACATTTTGTAACCTGTGACTTGACACCAAATAGTCAGCCTCATCCCGTTTGTCCAATCACCGCCTTAATCTTCACTGCTCCCCGTCCCGTTTAAGAAAAGCACAATATTTAAGGATGTGTGTTTATCGTCGTCGCTGAGAAAGAAACGTCGAGTCAGTGAACGCATCACGGAGTAAAATCCTGCCTGGGCACCGGCAGCCATCCTTAGTATTACTTGAATCTGGAGATGTGTGAAGGGAATTTTTTTTTTTATTATCGTTTCAGGTTTTTTTATGACTTTTGTAAATATATTTTCTTTACAGCTGTGAAAACTGATATATGCTGTCTTAAATAAATGATTTTAAGAGTGATGTTTAAACTGTTTTGTTTTTGTCTTTAATGCATTCAGCGAAAAAAGTAAACATTGAACCTATGGAAGTAAATTTATTTAAAATTTGAGATTTATATATGTAAATGGATAATTACAAGCAAATGCACAATTTACATTTAAATATCAGGAAACTTCTAAAAAATATATGACAAGATGTAAATGAACAATTCAGACATTTTAAAAGATCAGTAGAAAGATAAACAATTGTCCTACCTGCTGTAGATGGTTCTTTGAACAACCTCGTTTTAAAAACCATTTAATTTTGACCAGATTAACAAACTAACAAATAATCCAAGCATTAGCTACAGCAAGTATACAGTCTAATTCTGACCAGACTGACAATTTAACATATTCGTTAGTGTTAGCTACGGCTAAAATTTAGGTAATTTCTGAACAGACTGATGAGCTAGCAAGCTAATCTAAAAGTTAGCTAGCATACAGTCTAATTCCAATTGGATCATCAAGCTAACTAATCAAAGTGTTAGCTACAACTAACATACAGTCTAGTTATAATTAAATCAACAAGCTAACTAATTCAAGCATTAGGTACAGCTAGCAAAAAGTGTAATTCTAACTAGATCAACATGCTAACTAATCCAAGCATTA